CAAATATTACTTCCACAAAAGCCTTCCCAACCTTTTTCATATGGTGATAGAATAAAAAATATTAGTTAGATTTTTATTATGAAGATGTTAAAGTATCTTATGATGCCTTACTAGCTGAATAACTATGTTTATAAGATTAACTATAGTTGAAATAGTCCCAAAAAATGCTATGGATGCTCTGCATTATTTCAAACACATTTTAGATTAAATTCCCAATGTATTAAAAGGGTTTATAAACTCTTCCCATTAGTAAACTAATGAGAGAACACTCTCTTTTTTAAGAAGAATAACAGAGGCCTGCAGAAGTACCATTTGCAGGGCACGGCCCGGATTTTTTTTAAAGATTTTTTACGGCCCGGCCTGGGGTTTTTTTTTTAAATTATCAGGCCTGGCCCTGCTTTTTTTTAAAAAATTTCAGGCCTGGCCCGGCTTTTTTTAAAAAAATTTTAGGCCGCTCGGCTTTTTTTTTAAATTTACAGGCTCAGCCCGGCTTTTTTGAAAATAAAATTTTCAGGCCCGGCCCGGATTTTTTTAAAATAAATTATATTTATTTTTGTTTTTATAGCTAATAATAACGATTTCAAATATAGCTGTTTTAAAAAATACAGCCCGGCTTGGGTGTTTTTTTAAAAAAATTTTGGGCCTGGCCCGGGTGTATTTTAAAAAATTAAAATACTGTCCGGCCCAGAGGTCGGGCCTGCAGGTCTCTGAAAAACATACCAAGAAGTACAACATGTGAAAGTAGATTGAAAGGTTTGGATCTTTTGAATATTCATAGGCATTTGACGACAAGCAAGGATGAGATAATTGAAAAATTAGCTCAATTCCAACGAAGATTGGATTTTACATTGTAAATATATAACATACAAAATACAATTATTCCTAAGAAACATTTTGTGTAAAGGCTCAAAAAATTCAAATTTCTATTTTGGGTCATTTAAGTGATTCTTTACATATAATTTTTTTATAATTCACATTAATTTAAAATTGTGTATTAGGAATAGTTATTAGTCCTAATAAATTTATGCTTGATATTTTTAAAAAACAATAATATTTCTCAAAAAAATTTATTATCCCCCCCCAGACCAAATTCCTGCGTACGCGCCTGTCCGATACTCTATTACTTAAAGAATGTTTGTTATGATTATTATAAAAAAACAATTAGAAATATAAAGACGCAGGACCTTTTTTTTGGGGGGGGGCGTGTTTTATTTGCTTAATTAAAAGAAAGACAAAAATATAAGTAATATATATATGTAATTATAAATAAATAATTGGACCTATCATTGACCATGTATTGTTTACTTTATATAAAAGAAATAAATATAATATCAGCCATTCATTTTTGCTTTAATAGAAAAAGATTGCAAATATATTATATTTGAAAAGATCGCCATTGATTTTGTATTTTTAGATATATCACGATGATTTTAGATGTATAAATTCACTGTGTCACAAATTTCGACTTGATTTTTTGGGAGAAAATAAAATAAACATGTTTTAAGACAGTTTTTTATGCATATTCTAAATCCGCTGTCAGGTTTTTTATTTATTTTAGGTTAAAGTGGTCAAAAACGTCATTTTTAGCACTTTTTGAAGGTTTATAACTTCGGTTCTGATGATCCCTACAACTAAAAAAATATCTTAATTTTTGCAGAAAACCTTCTTTATTATTATTATACATTTTTTTTTTATAAAATCCTTGCTCAATTTTTAAACCACCTATATTTTTTAAATTTACCTTTATTTATAAAATCTTTTTTAATATAGCTTACATTTAATATATTTATTTATTATGGCTTTCGTTCTCTTCGCTACACTGCACACGGTACCATACCCAAACAATTTATTTTAAATGAAATAGTTATATTTCTCATATTTAAATAAATATATTATCCTAAGCTAACCTATCTCATATTTTACTTTCGTCAGGATTGCGATCATTTCCAGATCGCAGCATATCATAAATTCGTAGATGGAATAATTTATTTTTGATAATAAATATTTCATATTTTCATATGATTCATTTAACTGGTTGGAATATGCGATGGGAATTGATGGCTTAGAAATTCCGTTATGAAGCAAAACTGCTTTCAAGCTGTTTTTGCTTGAATCGATGAACAAGCGCCATTCATGGGGCACCAATTCAATATTAAGTTGTAAAAAAAGTTGACCTAGATTGTTGGAATAGTATAAAAAAAATTTCTTAAGAGAATAATTTTTTAAACGATGCTCCACGGAATCGGTATGAAGTTCGAACTCCATTTTTTTAAATTTTAAAATCACTAAGCCTTGAGGCTAAAAATTCGGACTTTCTTTTTGAAAGTTGTAAATTTATGGTTATGTCATTTAGTTGCTATTGTAGCATAAAGGGTGAATTCTCTTTGGGATGATACTCAAGATCAATATTGTCATTGTCCTGGCAACGTAATTTTTCCAGCTGCGAACTATTAAAAAAAGGAACTGTTGTATGCATATTATATTTTGCCGGATAAACAACCGACGAAATTTCAGGATAACGAATTTTTTTCTTATTTTTTTGCTAAACCCAAATGTACTAATCGAGCAAAAATAACAATCCCACGAATGATTTCTTGCTACGTGCCAAAATGCAGGCTTCGAATAAGGCAAATATGACCGTTTTCCATTTGCCCATGAATTAAAATAATTATAACATGTTTTACATATGTAATTAAGGGCAAATGGTTTATCCAAATCGCAGAGTGGAATATTGTAATAAATTTCATAAATCCTTTGAATGATTGGAGAAATTGGACATTTTTATGCCGGCAATATATAGCCCGCACAGATGTAACAAAATTTAGAGACACACTTTAAACAAGAGGACCTCGGCATTAATTTTTTGTAGAATATTTTATAAGTAGGGAATTTGAATAATATTTAAAATCCAATTTTAAAAAAAAATTAATGAAAGAAATTAAATGTTTATGAAAAATTAAGCGCGAAAAAAAATGATTTTTCTCCTTTCTTCCTACTCGTTATTTGGCATTATTATTTATTGCCCATACTACGGGTTCAAGTTACTCCATTGGAAAATCATATATTTTGATATAAATTGATTAAAAAAACAAATATTCTTAAATACATCTAAAAAAGATAAATATTAATAAAAAAAATATGAAAAAATTACCAATTATTGCATTTTAAATGAATTTTGCTTCAAAAATGCTCAATTCAAAAAGAATAAAAATTAAAAAAGTGGGTACAGATATCTGATTTTGGTATAAATTGATCATAAATGCATAAAATAATACTAAATACAACTAAAAAAGATAAATATTACCTTAATTTTGCTTTAAAAATGCTTTGTGCAGAGAAAATTTAATATAAGTGTACAAATTAAAAAGTTCGAAAATATCTGTACTTTTTTAATTTATAGATTTTGGTTGAATTTTCATGGCATAGAGTACTTTTGAAACATAATTAGAATTAATATATAATCTTGAGCATATTTGAAGCAAAATTATATAAAATTTATCTTCTAAAGTTAATAATTTTGATAGTGATTTAAATTGGAAACTTAAGGCCCCCAAAACGAAATCTTTACCATTTTTCTCAAAAACCAATCGATAAAAAATTATAAAAATTAGTAAATTTATAAAGAAATATAAGTTTAACACTATCACCAATTTTCAGGGATTTTAATTCGATACTTTTTAAAATATATCCGTATAAAGATCTAAATTTTACCATTTTTAGAATTTCGAAAAGTTGTCTTTATACGGTAATATTTTTAAAACTTGACGTGTAGGGAAAATTTGGAAAACGGATTCGAACTCAGCGTCAAATTCTGTACCAAAACTTGTTTTTATTTTCTTCTCCCATTTTTCTTGTCACACAGTGTTTATGGACAAATTGATTACAAAATAAATTATTAATTATTTTTAATATTGGATTCAAGGTAGGAGGATATTATTAATATAATTTAATATATTTGCATACCATAATAATATTATAAAAATTAATTGATTGATTGCGCCGACAAGCCACAATTTTACTTAACTCAATGGTGGTAATATTACTAATATGATCTTAACATATATTTAAGCATTATATATCAATCTGAAACTTTCCCAAATATTAAAATAGATATTTAACTTTCGTATATTGTCCATTTTGTCATGTTTAAACTTTTAATTTTTTAATACAACCTAAAAATATTAAGTGAAAATATTGTAATTTGTCAAAAACATGTCATAACAAGATAAAAATTTAAATAGCTAAATATTATAAATTATTCATCCCCAAATATGGATATTATAGAATTCTATTTTAGAAAAAAATTTCAATTTTTAATCGTTACTTGTTTTAAAATAAGATCGTTTGAACCGACAAAAGACCCTTGTGTTGACTATCCCTGGTCTTTTCTATTAGCCATTGACTTAAATATGTTTGGATACTAACTGTTAGTAGTATCTTTTATCACACTAAGATTTTTAGAACATAAAATAATTATTTCTAAAATGTTTAATATTTTTTTTACCTCTAAATCATTAGAGTATATTGAGAAGTGCATTTAGGAGTCACCTCAGAATTTATACCAATAGTATTCCTCATCTTGTATTTAAAATGCATTAGAGGTAACTACGTTTTAGCTGTGCAGAATAATATCATAAATATGGCTAGTGCTATAAATGTAATTTTCTTATATTTGTAAAATTTTTAAAGTTTAACTTTCATAAATAAATGAAAAATATTTCAGAAATTAGGTAAAAAATTTTATTCATGATTCGTCAAGTTTAAATCTGGTCATATAAAATTACTTTTGTAAATAATATAGCGATACTGATCATTCTTGTGCTAACACATTCCTGGCTAAAGGTATCCTCCACTCTTATTATTTATATCAATTAATATTAATAAAAATTTTGTATCTCGGGAAGCCCGACTAGCTGTTCAGTATACTTCCTGATACTTGCTTTCATTTAATCTTTTAAAAATTAACATTATTATAATTTAAATAATTTATTTTCATGTAGAATCGCTAGAATATCTCTGCAATTGCCCGATGAATACCTAGAACATTTAATGAAAATAGTTATTAAATTGTTTGGCGATAATGCGACTCTGAATCATTGCCACGGAGGTAGGCTATATTACAAATTTTAAGTTGCTGTATTGAAATAATTATTATTAGGATTTATATCATATAATATATTTAGTTAATGATGATTTCTTTCTTATTTTAACAGTTTTATTTATCCCCCCCCCCTCCAAATAGGATGTTTATGTGTAGCCGAAATGGCCCGCCAAAAATTACTTCAAAGTCAATTTATCTTACAAATAATTCCATGCTTAATCAAAGCACTTTTCTACGAAAAAAGAATGGGCACTACAGTGGTTGGGGAAAAGGTGAGAGATGCTGCATGTTATGCACTATGGTCATTTGCCAGGACTTATCCATCTAATCAAATGAAACAGCATCTCAAAAGCATAGTAGAGTAAATATTTAATTTTTTAAAATGAAAATAAAATTACATTAATTCTAATTGAAAGCGAAATTATATAATTCCATGAAAACACAATCCTTTAGCCGATCCTTTTTGATTTTATGTAATTTAATATGCAAACTCAGGTTCTTGATATCGATCTGGGCATAATTTTAACCTCCTATATTTTATACTTTTTGAGATATCGAAGGTAAAATGTTAAAAAATACTTTTTTATGTATCAGTTTTAAAAACTACGCGATATAGTTTGGGTATTTGTTAAAATAGATTAATTCAAAGATAATATATAATTTTTCTATCGGTTCAAGCTAACGGAATATCTTTTATTTTATAAATAATTTCATAATAATAATAAATGCAGTGGCTGTGGGGGGGGGGGGAGGTTGGGGCCATGAAAAATGAAAAAAAAATTAATTTTTTTTATTATAATTTACTTAACTGATAATACGTGATAAAGCCAGTTGTAGGAACACAGAGCTACGCTAGATTTTTCTCATTTCCATCTAATTGGATTATTAAAGTAATCGCGGAAGAAAATATGAGAACTCCTTTACACGCTTGTGGGCAAGCCGCACGTACTTGTACGCACAATAGTCCGAGGATTATCGTTTAAACGTCTGTGAACTGATTAAGAGGGAAAAGGCCAAATAAGACAGCCCACACCCATACCTACTGTCCTATTAGTATCTGATTATAATTGGATAGGGGTAGGCAATTTTAATTAATGTTTAATGAGTTACATTTAAGAAAATATGATTATTAAATAAGAGAAAAAAAACCTGTACTCTTGAGGTAGTTGAGGGAGAGGAAGGGTAAAGTGACGGATAGGGGATTTCATCTTAGGTACCTAGATTTTACCTTAAGAAGCTTTTTTATTTTAATTAAAGAAAAGATTTATCAGTCATAATTTTATTTTAAAAAGCTTTTATTTTCTTTTTCCGGTTGAGTCTAAATTGTTGATTACACTTGAAACACGAGAGGATATAAAATCTCAGAGTTTTACTGATGATTTAGTAGGCTCATGATAAGTTAATTTATGATGTCGAATTTTGGTATAGAAATTTTGACAGAATAGAGTATTCTTTGAAACCAAAAAATGCTCTGAACTTTTTCCATATGTAATTGCACTTTAATTCAAACATTAATTATTTTAGCTACCTTACCAATTAGTACCTGCATTTCAACTTTTTAAAAAATATCACCGGTGAAAAACGTTTAAATGGTTTAGCCTTATTAAATATTTATAAGGAGATTATTCTAGAAAAAAATTTGATTCTAGATGAATTAGAAAAATCTCAGAGAAAAGTAGACCTCTCTTTATAAATTCAAATCAAAAAATTGCAATATGATTTTAGTTTTAATATATAATATTTATAATCATATTTTTTCGTCTTAGTTATAGCATTTATATAATTTTTGTATTAACTCTTAAAATTTATACAATTAATACTATTTTTAATCAAAGTTGTATTATTTAATATCGTCATATTTTTTTAAATACCATCATTTACATAAGAATTACTTATATTTTATGTGATTGTTAAATTATATTTTTCTTAAAATAGAGTTTTTATACAATAAAATTTTTAATATTATAAAGATATAAGCAATTGAGTGTTCATAAAAAATGGGAGGTTTGGGAGGCGAAGCCCCCCTCCCAAAAATGTTTTTAAAAAAATCGAATTATTTTAAAAACTTAAAATTTAATTTTTTTATTACTATATCTGCAACAAGAAAATTATTTTAAAATATCTAACGGTCACTTTAAGATAATTTTTTTAAACGACTAACTCAAGATTTTAGCCAAAAGTAAATTATCCAGGAAGATAAGTTTGGAAATCTATTGTAAAAGTTTCAAAGCTTGGTAATAATATTTTGGCTAAAATCTTGATAGCCATTTTTTAAAATCGGCTAAATTAAGAGCCATAAACATTGCCCATATTTTAAATGAAATAATTAACTCTGAGAATAAATAAAAAACAAAATACCCTTAATGTAAATTTTTTTTTGAATAGAAAATATTAGTATTCAAATATAGATGGTAAATAAAATCAATTTAAATAAATATCAGATCTGGGGAAAATTTGCGCATCGGCACAGCCCTAATTTTTATGATAAGAAATTCATTTGACAATCATTGTCTAATAAGTTTTTTATGCAATTGAAATGCATTATATAACTAATCTTTATCAATTGAATTCATGTGCTTAGCACGGCAAAAGTCGTGTCGGCGATCACTATCCTATCCCATCACAACTTTGGGGAAATTAAAATAGAAATATGCAGGTCACATTGTATATCAATCCCCCATACCATTATCTAGAGGCGACCTTCTCACTTTTTTTAAAATATATTTTTTTAATAAAATTTTTATGTTTTTAAAGTATGGTCGGTTCTAACAAAAATACAAATCTATATTTTATTTAAAATATTATGTAATTCATTTTCTGTGGTTTATTTATTGTTTAGATTAGGTAAAAAAAATTTGATTGCTTTAACAGCATGTGGAATCGTACCCCGAACTTGGAACCCTCATAACCATGTTAAATTTAGAAACCGGAACCACAACTTTTCAAAATCTTTTGAATCAGAACCACGTTTTTAAAAATATTTAGAGCCTTATCCAGGACCTTTTTCGCCCAGGTTTTAAACCAGTTATTCTTAATTTTAAAATATCACTTATAAATTTTTCAGATATACATAATATTAAATGTATTAATAAATAGGAATTTATTGTTTGTAGCCTTGTTCGACTCAGATAAAAAATGCCGAAGAGCTGCCTCAGCAACTTTCCAAGAATACGTTGGGCGATATGTTACATAACTACCTATTATATTAATTTTATGCATAAACCATTCTGTTTTACCTCATATCACTTAATATAAAATTTAATATATTTATAAACAGATTTTTTAACGATATTTTAAGTATCAAAACCGATTCAAATTTTAAAAAGGTTGTTTTATACCAATACAAATATATTTTCCCCTTAATATATTTGATATCGATGAATTAAAAAATCGATACATTTATGATAATTTTCTTCTTATATACATAATAATATAAAAATAACATATTAAATATTTTTTTGTTTGATTATTACAATATTGCACTTTAGAATTTTTTATCAGGACACATCCCCTCCCATCTCTTTTTTTGCTTTATTAAATATAGTTGCTTGTGCCATGCCACCATAGATGGGTGTTATATTTTATAAAATTATAAAAAGATCATTTTGCAAAAAAAAATTAAATAATAATTGCGGGGCTGCCGTGAATCTGGCCTCTCCCTCTTATTCTTTGGATATCTTAAAAACGGTATGGTACAAATCGAACTGAAAACGATACAAATTCGCCTTATTATATAAACTACTAAAAATTTAAAATTAGAGCAGAACCTCTCCTCTTTGAGATCTAACTTTATTCAAGATTGATATATGAGTGGAATTAAGATTCATCATTTTATATTACTCTAAATCTTTTTAATTTAATTTTAATTAAATATTTTATTGTTTTATTAAATTTGTATTAAAACGATATTTAACTATAATTAAGATAGAAAGATATCGGAAATGTATTGATTTTCGAATGCATAAAAATATACCGTCATAAGATAAATTCTCACCGATATCTATGCGATACTTTAACAATTCTGTTTATAAATTAATCAATGATTGAATTTCCAAATAATTAAGTGTGCCAAAAAACATTCACAACTAGATAAATATTTTAGTTAAATGTTAAATTAAAATGATTGATTTTTTATAACATAATATTCAAATCTAACGAAACTAAAATAATTATTGAACAGGGCGAGAATTGCATACCAGCCGGTATCGAAATATTAACCAAAGTTGATTTCTGTGACGTTTGCAACCTTAGAAGATGTTATATTAGTTTGGCTCCTTTTATTGTCTCCTTAAAAACCTCCTTCCCATCAGCCTGTGATTATATTGGAATAGCTGATGATCAATCGGTTCTTCCAACCTTACATGAATATCCCTATTTCGAACCACTTTTAAATTTCGTTATCTCCAACCGATTGTTAGGCTTTTGCAATTTAGAATCAAAAGTTTTGGCCGGTCTTTGTGTGGAATATATGTTAACACGAATTATTAATGCCTTTTACGATGATGAATATATTGGTTTCAAAGGTATTGATAAAGAGGTTGTTGGGGATTCACTTTTAAAGGATCCCACTTGCAAGGATATACAAAATTTGATAAGATATTTTTGCCAAGAATCTTTGAAATATTTTCAATTATCACGAGGACAAAATGAGAACAGCGATTCATTTTCTAGATATGGTGCGCTCATTGGATTGGGCCACATATTAAAAGGAACCTTCAACGGATATATTAAAATTATTAAAAGAATCTTCAATTCACTTAATCGATCGAAATATAGTATACATGATAAAAGTTTAAATGTTATAGAAAGGAATGATTCCATAAATTATGATAAATTTAATGAAAATAATTGGACTCATATCTTAGTGTCACAACAAAACATCTCAATGATACGGCAACTAATTCACGCTGAAGCCAATGTTAAAGAAGTTAACAGAGATAAAAATTTTGATTATGGAACACTTAATAATGGTCAAATCTTGAGGCTATCGGCTCTTTGTTCATTGATATGCAATATGTGCGATAGCGAGGATTTGATGTTTTGTTTATTGAGAGAAGATCAAGGTACAATAAAAATTACCATTTCATATAATAAAAATTTGTATCTCAGAAGATTTGAAAATTAATTTTAATGATACATTTAATTCCACCAAAAATTGCTTAAAATAGGGTTACCAGTTATGATACTCTCATTTAATTTTTTAAAAAAAAACAAATTAAAGTAAATTTAGATTACTCCTTACTTTTTAGTATATTGAACAATGTTGTTGATCCCGCGATATTTTACCCACAGGATATTGTCAAAACTATTGACCCTTATTTCAATCAAAATGGTTTATCCTCTCTAAAAGCTCTTGGAGAACTTCTTATAAAACGTTTAGATAATATCGACCCCCAAATAACAGAAAGTATGGAAATCAAAAATTTTGCTCGTGAAAATATGAAAAATCATTATATGAAAATACTCAGGTGTACTATGAATCCTGCTCCAGAAGGAGTCGCTGAGGATAACTTATTGTAATTTTTTATGTTATAAATCTATAATTTTTTTAAACACAATTAAAAGTTATTCTATATTTTCTCTTAACATGAATTATTATATATATGAGTGATGTTTTTAATATTACTATAATAATACATATTAGTGTACTCTAGCACCTCCCATTTTCGCATGCTCGAAAAATTGTAAAATTAATGAATTTTCACTAATAATAAAAGTATTATTGATTTATCATTTTTCTTTATTATTTTATAAATCTAAGAATATCCTCTTGTAAAGCTTTACCAAATATTCCGATTCAACTATTGTGTTTGCCCGATAAGGATATTAGCGATAAAAGCGATATTCTAAATAATTCTCAGGATCTATATGACATAACACTCATATATGATGTGTTTACTCATTTGAATTCTTCAGGTAGGTTTTCTTGCCAACTGAGAAAGGAGTCTCTTATAGCATACACAAAGTAATATAGAATACAATACAATTCGATACTTTATCTTTATATAGGATCGTCGTCTCTTACTTGGATAACGTAAAAATTACGGGTAAAATTAATATTTAATTATTAATACTATTTAAACGACAAATCATCGAAATTAACATTTATTTAAACATATATATTTCTATATTACTATTAGTGTTATTAAAAATCTCGTTGGTCAATTTAAAAACAAAATTGCCTAAGCCACGAGATTTTTTCAACATGGAACCAAATCTCTCTCCCATCATTTGTCGAATTATCAAGGTTTAGGTATATTTGGATGTAGAATTTAATAGGGGAGAACTAGTTTTTGGAATTAAAAATGTAAAATTACATTAATATATTACACATTTTGTTTGTATATTTTATGATAAAAAATATTAATTATGCTAAAATATTATTATAAAAAAATCGTACAGTCTTGGTTATATTTATATTAACATTATTAAGGTACTGAATTCGTTTTTTAAAAATATTATGCTATCTTTAGGCTAAATTTTTGGAAATTAAGTATAATTATGCATCTGTAATTGAATTTGAAACAAGAACTCTCGGAAGCATGACAAATCTATGAACCAAATTTAGGAACCCCTCTCAAAATTGATAGGAACCGGAACTTATTTAATCGGTTTTAACTAACTTAGTTGAAAACAATATTAAATCTAATGGGATAATAGGATAATGGTATTTCTAGCATATCTATCTTTGGTTTTTAAAAAAATCGGTATTATAATATTAAAGTTTTAAAATTATTTTGATAATATTGTGCAAAATCGAACGCACAATATCCACCCATTGCGACCGCCGAAGCATCCAAACGTAACAAATATTCGCAATTAGGAAATGTATTTTTTCTACCACATAGGGAATTTCGGCGAAGATGCAATTCCATTTTTAAAAACTTTAGGTTAAAAGCTAACGATAACTGAAAATCCTAAAGAAAATTTATATATATGACAAAGAATATCTCTTGAAATATGTATATCTAATTTTATCTCCATCCTCGGCTTTATGCCTGACAAAATAATTTTTTATTCCCCCTCCATCGTTTTTTTAAAAATATTTTAGTTTATATAATTTTTAAATATATATATTTTTTAAACGTTTTATATATTTGAAATTGAAAATTTAAATAAATAACTTAAATATTATTATTTTTTAAAAAAATAAATATTTATTAGTGTTGTTAAGAGTTACTTTTGAAACATAACGAGTTACAGTTACTAGTTCATTGGTAAAAATATTACTAGTTACATTTTTACAACTGTAACTACTTATTAGTTACCGTTATATTTCAAAAGTAACTAATTACATTATAGGTTACTACATAATTCATATAACGCATTATTTATTTACTGAACCCATGTATTTAATATAAAAAAATTATACTCAATTATTTAAATAATACAATTTATATATAAAATATAATTAAACCGAAAAAAATTATCGGGAAATAGAATATTTATATTTACATTGAAATAAAAATTTATATATTTGCATTGGAAAAAAACATTATGCTTTCTTTATAAATATTATATATGGTGAATTCCATATCAAATCAACCAAGGTTTCAACCCGACCCCTTTCAATTTTTTTTAAATTTTGCATACTGGTATTATATACTATAACTAAGAAAAAAATGAAATTTTACCTCCCAAAAAGGCTTACCCGCTTAGATATGGGCGTTTAAAGCGCGGAAAAATGGTACATTTTTGACAAAAAGTGCCTCATTTATTTCCAAATATCTCGAGAAATAATTAAGTTAGAAAAATAATTTAAATTTTATTATGTAGCTTAATAATAGTTCTTTAATATGACATAAAAATAAATATGATGAATGTCCAAAACCGGATGTATAAAACCGGAAATGGCCATAGAAAAAAAAGGTATTTTTTTTTAAAAAATTTTTTTTCTGTAGATAGATATAACACTGCTTTATATTTGTGCCAAATCCTAGCCTGGGATGAAAAAGGGTCTAGGAGTTATGACTCTTTATATGGCTTAAATTGATCAAAAATATCTTCATTTAATGGATACTTATGAAATAATGTTTATTTAAAAATTATGTCTAAATGATATGCCCTTACTTTTTTTTATTTATTAGCATAAAACAATCTATCATAATTAAAATTCAACAAATATCATCATATTTAATTGATAAATTCACATTCATATTGTAGTTTTCGTAACCCCTAATGTGTAAGCTCTATAACTTTTACTTCATCTTAAAATCATAATCACAATTTTCATTTATATTAAAGAAAAATGAATTCTCCGAATCGAAAATAGTATTCTTAAACGGAAAAAATAATAAAATTATTATATTATTGGGAAAAAGAAACTAAATTATTATAAACAAAAAATAATAAAATCATTATATTATTGGGAAAAAGTGCAAGACCATGCACAGGGATTTCATTGGACAAATAATCAGTCCACTATTCACTCTTTTATCATTTATTATAGTCAGGACAACACTAAAACATATAAGTTTAGTGGTGATATCAGATTGCTTAAAGCACAATGCCTGTGCCATTTATTTATTTCAAACTAAAATGATCTTATTTTTAAAAGAAAGATTTGATACATTGACCAAAATTTATTAATTTTCTGATGGGGCCGTAACCCAATATAAAAATAAAAAAAATTTCATAAATCTCTATAATCATGAATGTGATTTTTGGTATAAAGGCCGAGTGGCATTTTTTTGCTACAGCTCATGGAAAAAGTCCGTGCGACAGTTTAGGAGGTATTATAAAACGGCTAGCAGCTAGAGCTAGTTTGCAACGGCCATATCAAAACCATATTTTGACACCAATGGATTTATTCAACTTTGTAACAAATAATATACATGGAGTAAATTACATTTTTGTAAGCAATAATGAATACAATAATATGGAAAATCATCTAGAAAGCAGATTTTTGAGAGCAAAAAGAATTCCGGGAACACAAAAATACCATGCTTATATTCCCCTTGACGAAAATAAAATTAAAGTCAAAATTTATTCCAATTCTTTAGATAATTTAATATATGATATATTGTAAACATAATTATGAATTATTATATTATATGTAATTATGCATTTCAGAAAAATAAAGTTATAAATTGGTTTAGAATTATTTTGTCAAGTAATTTTCAGTCACAATATGTAAACAATTAAAAATAAAAAAAAGTTAGGGCCTATCATTTAGACATAATTTAAAAAAAAACATTATTTCATAAGTATTCATTAAATGAAGATATTTTTGATCAATTTAAGCCATATAAAGAGTCATAACTCCTAGACCCTTTTTCATCGCAGGCTAGGATTTGGCACAAATATAAAGCAGTGTTATATCTATCTACAGAAAAAAAATTTCGAAAAAAAAATACCTTTTTTTTTATGGCCATTTCCGGTTTTATACATCCGGTTTTGGACATTCATCAAATTTATATCATATTTATTTTTATAAGCTACATAATAAAATTTAAATTATTTTTCTAACTTAATTATTTCTCGAGATATTTGAAAATAAATGAGGCACATTTTGTCAAAAATGTACTATTTTTCCGCGCTTTAAACGCCCATATCTTAGCGAGTAAACCTTGTTGGGAGGTAAAATTTCATTTTTTTCTTAGTTATAGTATATACTACCATTATGCAAAATTTAAGAAAAATTGAAGGGGGTCGGGTTGAGAATCGACTTTTTTTGGTTGATTTGATATGGAATTCACCATATATATTATATAAATATTAATTATTCTTAAAAAGTTAGTTCAATTAATTATTCTTTATAATATTAGGCAAAACAAAAATCTTGTTACAAATTAAAATTTATAACTTAAGACAAGTTATGTCAAAATAAACTTACAGAGATATGTTTCCATAGATTAGCTGTGGATGACTAGATGCTGAAATATACTTTTTATTTGGAAGTCATAGGATATATTTGACAATAATATTAACTACCAGCCTTCTCTTTGTGGAATTCAAAATATTTTTCGACTTGGCCAAGATAGGTCCATTTTTTGCAATTCTGGTAGAAGGGGAAGGTATAATTTCTACATCATCCTTAACCATTAGAATGTCATCCTCGTCAAATGATGAATCAGACTCAGAATTCATATTGCATTCTGTTTCTATCTAGGAAATATTAAATAACACTTTTCTAGATTAGGAATAGAATAATCTATTGACAGGTGAAACAAGCAGTTCTAATATGTGTCTAATTTATATATAAGTTTATTATAAATAAAAACTCAGGCCATGCCATAAAATAAATTTTAGGTTGGGCTAAATCATTGAAATTCAAAGTAAGACTGAAAAAAAAATGAATTAGCAGGCCTCCTTGATAAATAAAGTTTTAGTTCTTAAAAATTTGTAAAAGTTGTTCTGGGTTCTTAAATCTGTTATGTTTTCAAGGTTTCTAATTCCAAACTAAAAGTAATCATTTTTAAAAATTTGAGCAGTGTTTTCATACTTTTGTTAGATTTGGTTCTTATAAATTTCAAAATGGTTCATTAATTCTAAAAATGGGTTTCAGGTTATGATTTGTATTAAGAATTATTTTATTTTTCACTCAAATATTTGCAAATATAATATTTATATAATATGCAGTTGTTGCAATTATTTATTTTAAACTTATTGCATATATTTTTTTAATGTTAATTCATCAGCATCCAAGTCTATAGCCTGTATAATTTTGGAGTCTTTTTTGTCAAATTGTGATAATAAGAATAATAAGGAAAGGGTATTAGGAAATTTATTTCTTATTTAATTATATATTATATGTATCATATTGTATAATTTTGGGAAACAGATCATGGAATTTACTTATTTTTTTAGAAAGCAAAAAAATCCTGGACAAGAGGACCAGGACAAAAGTACCTTAGATAATTCCCCAATTACAAAAAAAATTAAATTAGCCTTTAGAATTAAGGGTATTTGATTAATCTCTTATTTAAGGAAATGATATTTGATTCTGCATTATAATATTTTGTTTTTCTTTCATAGTCTTTGTCTTTCCTTATTAGTAAGTAATGATTCCTAATTTAGTATTTTATACAAAAATTATTTAATTCTGAAATAATCTAAGTCTTTGTCTTTCCTTATGATATGTATTGAATTGTTATATAGTTATTTTTGTATTTTTTGTAAAATGTTTATTTTCATTATTATATTATCATGCGAATTTGAATAAAAGAAAAAGAATTGCAAGAATTATTAAATGACTTATATTTCTATTTCTAGTAACAATAATAAAACACCTTATACTAGGTTTTATGATCTAATTTAGTAAAATTTAAAAAAAATACATTTATTACTTATGAAATTCAAGAGTATAAATATTACCAGTAACTTTAAATATGATATTACATTTTGTCAGATAAATAGATTTATCTTAAACAACATGAATAAAACACCTTATACTAGGTTTTATGATCTAATTTAGTAAAATTTAAAAAAAATACATTTATTATTTATGAAATTCCAGAGTATAAATATTACCAGTAACTTAAGGGCAAAAAATATGGAATATATTGTGCTAAATTAAAGAAATATAATACTAATAGGTTTATTACTTGAATTTGGTTATAAAATTATGAAACCCAGCAATGTAACATTAAGAAAAGAAAATCTATTTGGACCGAAAATTATATTATTGTTTGCATATCCTTTGAATCAGAATTTTAAATTAATAAATTCAATTTAATATTAATTTATCACAATATATTAAAAATAAAATTAATTATTTGAATATATTGTTTAGATTTATACATACATATTTTTAAAGTAACTAGTTACTATTGGCAATTACATTTCAAAAATTATAACTAGTTAATGTTACTTGTTATACTTTAAAAACACTAATATTTATACCTTATTTCACAAAATTTTACTATAAAGTTTTTCATCAATAGATTTTTTTTTATTTGTTGAGATATTTAATACTTAAATAATAAAAAAACATACCTTCTCCTTCTTCCTCGCAGGAAAACGTTGAAAGTTGGATAATCATTAATTAGCTATTTATGCATACAAAGAACAATCACAAATAATAATCGCGACTGACCAAATCATAAATCTAAAATTCAGGATATTATTCTAAATCAAATAGCATTGTTACACATTGTTTAGGAGGGTTACAAATCGAGAAGAACGTTTAAAAGATATCATTAAGTTCTAGTTAAAATAATAGTAAAAATGATTTAATCGGAGATATATCGAATGAGTGTCATTCTACTTTCCATAAGATTGTTTCAAAACTTGCAATAGAAGGATTAATAAAATGGTTTATCTATCTTAATAAGTAAAAACTTAAGTTTATCATTTCGTTCATATCTATCTAAGGTAAAAAAAAGTAGTTTAAGAGAAAACACTTGATTGGTTATAAACATTGAAATTAGACTACTGAGAAATGGAATTAACTGGTATTTAGCTATTAAATTTAATTTTGAGTGAGAATACCTAACTATTAATAATCTCGTGTGAGAAACAAAAATGAAGTTGAATAAAAGGGGTGCAAAATTAATTAAAAATATAATTAGCTGGGATTACATAATAGGAAAGGATATAGGTGAATTAAGCTTTCTTGATGCCATTGTTACATTATAAATAGTTTTTTAATAGTATATCAAACAAAAAAGATGATATTGTCTGCAATGGACTACGCGTTTTAAAGGATAGAGCACCATATCATCAAAATTTGCAAAAAATAGTTGTTATATAATAGAACTTAGGTATGGGAATAGTCTTTATTTTGCTCCGACTTGAATCATGAAGAGAAAGTTTCGAAAGCATCTTTTATTACAAGGGCAGACTTAAAGATAAATATTCAACAGATGTAGCATAAATTAGCTTCAGAGACTTGTCATCAGTTAAATAAATATTTCAATTAGAATAATTAAGGTCATTAAAGCAAACGGTGACATACCTAAGTTTTAAAACTTATAAAAAGTTTTAATTTCATGTGATATGGTTAGAGAAAAATAAATGTTTTGATTCTATGGGCGTAAGGGATTGCATTAGAAAGTCTTTCATTAAAAAGTTAAGTTCTTCATATGTTTTTTTAATTTCAAATAATTTGTTGATAAATTGTAGGTGGTCGTTTTTTTTTATTGTGGCATAGTGATATATTCAAAATTTTATTTAGATTTTTTTCTGCTATCATTTCAGAAGCAGGTGGTATCCTCAGAACTGGGTAAATTGAAAAACTACATCTTTTTAAAATTTTTAGGAAATGGATTAGGACTACTTATTAAAAAAAAGAAATGTAGCCAAAACTTTTTAGTTCAGGTTCCAAACGCTTATTTGAATAAAATATAATTTAAGCACGTACAATAAAGATCATTTCATATCAAAATTATATGACCAATAAATGAAATATTACATGGGAAAACTCAAAAAATAAGTTATTCATTGATTATAGAAGTTTTTATTTAATTAAAAAATAATCCAGACACCTCTAGATCAACATTTGACACGGCTAAACTTATGCAATGTCTTGTCATTAGTCTAAGCGATCGCACCCTCGACCCTTCTTATGGCGATATAGGCCGTGTTGTGCGAAGTGCAGGAGTCGATTGTGCGGGCACCTTCCTACTCCATTTTGCCTCTTTCGACACGAATTTTATGGTTGCTTCCGCGATGGCTGCGCAAAGCTGCTCATCCTGCGACAAACTGAGGCTCAATGCGTGCACCGCTTTGAGTGCTGTCGCTGCCTTATACTGTCGTCAAAACGAAAATGAGAAAAACGATGAAAATGCAAATATTAAAGAGATGTTACCTCCGATGTTGGAGATAACCAGGATATCATACTTTTGGAATAGTCTGAGCCATATATACTCGTTTTCACTTTTTATTTTATAAATACATTATAACTTTTCCCATTTATTAATTCATGTTATATTTTAACGATACATATCTATCATCAGGAGTTTGACAAATCTCTGTTAACTCATTTAAAATACATATTACGTGTTTTTAATTTTTGAAGGCCCTTCTTTTTCTGAATCGTATACCAGCATGTGTAGAGTACCTACTCATGAAATTCCACACAATTTTGTTCTTAACTTTTGAACTAGTCTTAATTTATTTTTAAAAATAAACAAAGCCTTAATTTATTTTAAAAAATAAACAAAAATTTTGTCTAAAATACATCTACTATATATTATTTTTAAAAAATATAATTGTTTAATAGATAAAAAAATTTTTAAAAATATTATATTAATAAATCATCTAATTTTATATATTAAAGTATATATAAGTTCGCATTGCATCTAAAATCTATTTTAAAGTTGTAAAAGAAACGTACTCAAACAATTTCTCAAATATATTTTGAGCATATTTTTATTTTTCTATTAAAAAAGGTCAATTCAATGTTTTTTGATAATATTTCAAAGGTTTTCAATTAATTTTTTAGTTTTTGTGCAGTCCAAAAAACATATAAAATAATATAATGAGATACTTTTAAAAAGTAATATAAATATATATGTTAGCATCAAAAGTTTTTTTTACCAGTCTGTGTGTTATTTTTTCAACTTTAAATCATTTTTTAAGCACATTTATTTAATTTAAATAATTTGATTCTACCGGAAATACCTTATGAATTTTAGACAATTTTTACCTTTTTAGTCATTTAACATTTATAGAAATATATGGAAAAACCAATATAAATTATAGTAGGTTCAAAAGTTTATGACCAAATTTTCTAAAAATCATATAGTAGGTTTTCTGCGCATAATGGAATATATTTCTAGCAAAATTATATTTTTTAATTTATCAGAGCACACTAAAAATGATTTAAAGTTTAAAAATAACACGTTGAAACATATACATATATATATAAATATAGGGAATGGCTTTAATAGAAATAAAAAAGATAGAAAGTAAGATAAAAGAGTTTCGGAGACATTAAATAAAACTTAAATAATATTGTTTTAACTTTAGCCCAAATCAGGCTTTAGTTTGGATAAAGAATTAGTAAAATCAAATGGATACTTTGTAACCAGTTTTTCAATTTTCGCGTTTTCAAGGATTTGGATTTTTTCTTTTTTTTTGCCAGATAAATATTATTTTAATATAATTTTTTTCAAATATAATAATTTTATTTAGTTAAAAAAATTAAAGAATATGGTGAATTCCTTGACAAATCAACAAGAGTTTCAACCCGATCACTTTATATTTTTCTAAAATTTTTAGTGGCGTTTGCATATTTTTTAACTAAGGAAAAAAATAAAAATTTAGCCTCCAACTCCAAAGAGTGGCTCCGATAGGGGCCTCTAAATGCCGAAAAATGGGGCATTTTGGGCCATAAGCACTTCCTTTAATTTTAGTTATCTAGATATAACTGAGCTAGACGTTAATTAAATTTATTTATATAGCCTAATGGTAGGCCTTTAAAGTTATGATATGTTAAATATTGTTTTGAAAATTTAAATGTCTGAAACCGGAAATGATCATCAAATCAAATATACATTTTTTTCTCCTCTCAAATTTTTTTATGAATAGATATAGGATTGGTGCAAATTTTCAAGTTGGGTCGAACTCAAGTTTGGGAGATATGGCATTTTATTTCATTATTCAATTGCAAATCTTTTTATAATGGTTTAACATTAACTGAAATAGTAATATAAGTCAAAAACTCTCAAATATTTTATATATTTAAAAGAGTTAGATCTGGGGAAGTATTTGGTGGGGGGGGGGGGCGCATTGGTTATTAAAATACAAATTAAAGAAGACAAAATTTAAATTTTTTTATAAATTTTAAATTGAATAATTTATGAATATAGTTAATCTTTCCTAGGCATAAAAGCATTAAACTTTTGTATTCCGGTAATGGGTGGGCCTTTGGAACAAAATATGTTTTCATATTCATAATGCGAATTAATTCCAGTGATATTTGCTTTACAAAATCTAAATAAATCGAAGATGATTAATATTTGATATTCATACGAATGCTGAAGGCTAGTTCTTGCTGCTAACCTTGGTTAATGTTTGCCTTGGGCTATTACGAATAAATGTCATTCCGCTATGATTACAAAAAGTTTATGATGGCTTAGGATTATGACTTTTTTTAAAATCCTTATATTGAGTTAGCTTATCAGAAATTTTGATTTTCAAAAACCATACATTTTTGATAAATTTTTTAATAAAACCAATTATTTTAGTTTAAAAATTTGGTCTTAAATCTGCAAATTTATTAAAGGCTACTTTTATATAAATATGAGTTTCCTTAAAATTAGAACATAATCCTTAAGATAGCATAAAATGAGTCTTTTCTTCAATTGGCACTTCTCTCCTTTAATTATTGCTATGCAATGATCAGGCCAGTGGGTATCCAGAATTTTCTTATGTAGGGGGGGGGGGGGGATTTTGGGGGACTTCGCCCCGAAACCCCTTTTACCTGGCCTTCGGCCAGCTTTCCCCCGGCCTTCAGCTGGGTCTTATGTTTTAGCTATTCTATTAAATTATTCATAATTTAGTAATAATTAAATTTCTGTTTTTAACTATTATTTACTAATTCATACTTATGGATATTACAAGCCTATTTTTTATTATTTCAAGTTAGGGATATTATATTTAATAAAGTTTTTTTAAATGTAAAGTTGAAATAAAGTGTAATGTCATTTTTTTTATAAAATTTGCTTTAAAAACTAGCCTCAGCCTAAATTCTCATACAATATAAGTAGAATATAATTTTTTTATTGAAAATACTAATAGTAGTGTGTATAAAATATTGACTAGAAGATAATTAAATTAACAAGTTTTTTTAACTTCTTATCTAATACAATATTATACAAAATATTTTCTATAATTATAATGTGATTTTTAATTTTCGTGGGAATGTTGCCAATTCATCAAGAATTTCGTTTGTCGTTGGAGCCAAATCTCTGTGGATATTTAACAGAGCTAACCATTTAGCCGAGATTCAGTGCTTCGTAAATATGTTTTCAACCTTCTCAAGTTGGAAAAAGTCCTTGCATTCGTACATGTTGTAATAGGCAAACATATAAGAATATAAAACAACTTCAAAATATTAGGAAATTGAGCCAAGGTTTCTTTACACCGATTGAGCGCATCAATAGCATGCCAAGGTATCTTTACACCGATTGAGCGCATCAATAGCATGCCAAGGTATCTTTACACCGATTGAGCGCATCAATAGCATGCTCAGGTAAAATAGCTAAACGTATAAATTCGAATTCACTGATTAAATTTATTTCAATATCAATCTCATAGGAAAAAAATTTTTCTAAATATTTAATTTTACCAATAGTGGCATTAGAAAACGAAGAAGGATCTTTGGGTTTTAAAACTTGAAGATTGCTAAAGACTTGTTTTTTATCTAAAAACCGTACTTTTATTTGCGATAAAAAAGTATCTAAGAATGGGATGAAAATGGATATTTTATAATATTCTTCAGTTGAGCCAATATTTATTTTACATCTCAATAATGGCCTAGGCTAGACGAGGTTTAATTAGTGTTATAGCATAAAATTTAGCCTTCGATTCAACGTCTAGATAAATATTATGAAAATATTTATCTACATTCATTCTTATTGTATCTAGCTGTTCATATATATTTTCCGCCAAATCAATAACCTGTACCAAATCTAAATTTGGTTTTTGTAAATTTTTACAAAGTTGAGCTAAAAATAATTTATTGATGCAACTAGCAGCAATAACTCTGATTAATCTATTGAATTCAATAATGATATCGCTTCTGACGACACATTGCTTTTTTCATGCTCAGCCTTATTTAACTTTTGTATTTCTATTTCTTCTGTTCTACAAAATGGAAGTAAAAATGAAAAATATTTAAAAATTATAGATATATATTAATAATTAAAATATTACTAAAAATACTTATTAATTCTAACTCACTAATAATTTTGAATTTAATAAAATAAATATATATAATAATATAATAAATTATCGTTTGATTTCAATCTCTTTGACTAATTATTTTTCCATTTTATTAATATTTTTGAATAATATGTTGGAAAATTGATATTCAAATATTTGTAAAATTCTGATGGGGGGGGGGGGGGTTTCCCCCTCCCCCCCCCCCATTGGTTAAGCGCCTGGATCAGGCATTGTACAACTGTTTTAATCGGAATTAAAAAATTTCCCAATAATATATATAAAATATTATCTCGAATCCCGCCTTTGCTATTCTTACCATGATTGAGTTATTCTTCTTGTTTTTAGGGCTAAGAATTTGGTAAAACAATTAATATATTTTAAATTTTTCATTTATTCTTTAATTGCTTAAGGATTTCCCATTCATTATCTTCTGAAGAAATTTTCAAAATATCTCTTTTAATATTTTCCTGAATTTTCTATTTTTTTATTTAGGATCTCTTTTTTCCCTTAAACGTTTCTTTTTAATTGATAACTCGCCCATTCATGGTAATGAACATTTAGATGTTGAAGGAAATGCGATATGGTTGGAGCATGTAATTTTATACCACAGATAATGCAAATTTTATCGTTAATTATAATGATTTAATGCCATATCCTAAACTTTAGTTCAGCCCAATTTGCAAATTTATTAAATAGTAAAAAAAAATTATGAGAAAATAAGAATGCCCATTTGATCTATGATTGACATTAATTTTTAAATAATATTTATTATATAATTTTAAAGGCCTGCCATTCACTTGTAGTTCAATTATATCCAAAAAAACATTGGCGTACGCAGCGGGGGGGGGGGGACAAATCCCCCCCCCCTACCAAAGCCAAAAAATGCAGATGCCGGATATATTTTTCAAAAATATTGTTTATATTAATTTATATTTGTTAATATTTATTCGTATCTCATATTAAATATATATTTAATTACATTTATTATCACATTTATCTACTAAGTTATTTTATCAATTAATTTCGATTTCAAGTTTTCCGGCATAATATTTACTTATTATTTTCAAATTTTTAGTGGCGTAATATTTATCTACCATTTTCAAATTTCTAGTCAAATAATTATTATTTCTGAAACTTCTTGTCCAACTGGGAAAAAGAAATTGCAACCTTGTCCAACGAGATAGAGTCTCTGCTATCAAGCAGTAACAGCTTTTAAGGAGTTAGAAGAGCCAATTATTTGCTATTACTGAAATATCACAATGGCCTGAAAGAAATATTTCCTCAGAAGCAAGAAAATTATTGGATTCAAAGCTTATTCCAAATTTTATTTCTCATTAGAATGTATTATTTAATTATACAACTATTTTAAGTATTACTTTTCAAAAACATGACATTGGCTTGATTAAGAAGATGAGAATAGCGGAGTGCATTTTATCAGAACTCAAGGAAGTTAGGGCTAATGTTGATGAAGAATTTCATATTTTATTGTTGAGTCAAAAGCAGAGCTATACGTGTTTAATATTTGTCTCCCTCGACTTGTAGCAAGGCAAGCTCATCGTTAAAACATCAATATAGGATAAGTAGAAGAGTATATCTTAAATACAGATACATTTATAACCCAAATAAATGAATTTTTAATTCATCATGCAGCACTTACTAATCTGCAAATATTACTTCCACAAAAGCCTTCCCAACCTTTTTCAGATTGTGATGGAAAAAAAAATATTTGTTAGATTTTTATTATGTAGATGTTAAAGTATCTTATGATGCCTTACTAGCTGAATAACTTGTTTATAAGATTAACAATGGTTGATATAGTCCCAAAAATTGCTATGGATGCTCTGCATTATTTCAAACACATTTTAGATTAAATTCCCAATGTATTAAAAGGGTTTATAAACTTTTTCCATTAGTAAACTAATGAGAGAACATTCTCTTTTTTAAGAAGAATAACAGAGGCCTGCAGAAGTACCATTTGCAGAGTAGGACCCGGATTTTTTTAAAAAAATTTCAGGCCCGGCCCGGCTTTTTTTAAAATAAAATTTTCAGGCCCGGCTTGAGTTTTTTTTTAAAGAAATTTCGGGCCCGGCCCGGGTATATTTAAAAAAATTAAAATACTGTCCAGCCCGGGGGCCGGGCCTGCAGGTCTCTGAAAAACATACCAAGAAGTATAACATCTGAAAGTAGATTAAGGTTTGGATCTTTTGAATATTCATAGTCATTTGACGACAAGCAAGGATGAGATAATTGAAAAATTAGCTCAATCACAACGAAGATTGATTTTACATTGTAAATATATACATATAAAATGCAATTATTCCTAAGAAACTTTTTGTGTAAAGGCTCAAAAAATTCAAATTTCTATTTTAAGTCATTAAGTGATTCTTTACATATAATTTTTTTATAATTCACATAAATTTAAAATTGTGTATTAGAAATAGTTATTAGTCCTTAATAAATTTATGCTTGATATTTTTTAAAAACAATAATATTTCTTAAAAAAATTTATTATCCCCCCTCTCCCCTGACCAAATTCCTGCGTACGCTCCTGCAAAAAAGATATCTAAAATTAACGAATGCATTTTCATAAAATGCCATATTTTTTGACCTTAAATGCCCTGATCTCAGATGCTGTTCTGAGTTGGAGTCTAAAATTTAATTTTTTCTTAGTTATAATACATGAGAAAACTAGTAAAAATGGTTGAAACTCATGTTGATTTGTCATGGAATTCACAAAATAACATACTTGTAAACTCCTTTTTATATATAGTCAAGATATAAATTGGCTATCTGTTTACCAAGCTTTTCCAGCTTTAATGCCATTACTCAATATTCCCGAATGTCGAGAAAATGCTCTTCTTGAACTTTTATTTAGCTTTGGCAGCACAGTTTCATTTACAAGCGAATCATCAAGTAATGAAATTTAATTTTATATTTTAAATCTTAATTTATTTTGCTATTTTCACTTATAAGTTTCAGCGCTACGTAACTACCTGAAAAATTCTAATTCATATCAAATCCAAGCATTTTCTCAGACAATAAATCTCATATATAAATCTCGATCACTTAATCCTTCATCATCTCGATGGCTACAATTTTTTATCCTAAATTGGCTGAGAGCCGTTGATGCCATTTTAAATTTAAAAATGATCGTGTACAACCAAACTTATATCAAGTTATTTTAAAATAATTTATATTCATTTTTTATTTAGGGTGGAGAGGAATAATCACCAATTAATGTTGTTTAACAGCTCTGTATACCCGATAAAAACGGTTGGATTAAGATTTTGGCTAAATTGAGTTCTTTAACAACACTATCACTATAACTTTCGAATAATTTTTTATAAAATGGATCTATATCTTAGATTAGACATGTTTTATTAGGGCTATGTACCTGCCACAATTTTAGCCGTCTTGGTTCAAAGCAGGAAAATAATAAAGTTTGGGTTTATAAATTTTTTGAACCGGATTCAGAAATATAGAAAAAAATAATTTTAAAAAAATCATAAACAATTAAATAATTATAGTCTCTTTATATGAGTTCTCTATTAAATCTCAATAGAAATTGAATTTTTACACTAAGAATTGACCTGCCAACAGTATCAACCTTTAAGTAGGAGCTTTATTTTTATGGGGGCTTCACCCACATTTCTCATTTCCCGCTCCTTTGGCCTGATCTCATTTAAAGACAACTAATTACATGGTTTTTATTATATCTTATATCTTTAACTAAAAACATGTCCAAAACAAATGGCTAATAATAATATTGCACTATGATTTTTTTACAATTCGAGCAGATTTTATTTAAGAATTGTACATATAAAATTATTCTTATAATACATATATTATAAATATTACACATAGCGGCCGGTGAAACGCGGGAGCAGTTTGATTTTCTTTTTTATGTTAATTTTGATTTGAGCTTCTATATTTTTTTCTAATTTAATTTTCTTATCTTATGGCATAGGTATATTTTTCGAAGGGCTACCGATATCATTTACGCTCCGCTTTCAAAGGTCTTGGCTTGCCCCTGTAAACATTTAAAATTGTATATTTCATCAAATGATACATATTGCAGAGATAATTAGACTTATTGCACATATAAAATCGAGCATAAATATGGTTTTACATTTACTTGTGTAAATAATCATGTTAAAATATATTCTAGGCAAAAATTATGTGTGCATTATATCGCCGAAGATTCAAGCATTATTAATATCAGAGACCTGCATAGGTACCATTTGCACGGCCCGGCCCGACTAGGAATTTTTTTCAAAAATTTTTTACCGCCCGGCCTGGATATTTAAAAAAAAATTTTTGGGCCCGGCCCGGATTTTTTTTCAAAATTTTTTAGGCACGGCTAGGAATTTTTTAATATTATATTTGACCTGGTATATACAAAAAATTCACCTTATCATATTTTTCGGCCAGTATTATCATTTAATAAGCAAGCATCTTAGCTAATAGCCGATTTTTAAAAACGGCTAACTCAATATTTTCGCCAGAAAAATATTGACTAAGCCTCGAAATTTATATACTATATGTCTAAACCTATGCTCCTTCTATGAACAAAATTTTCAGGCTTGCGTTTTTCAGGATAAAATAATGTGTTAGCCGTTTTTTAAAATCGGCTCAAAACGAGCCGTTTGACACTACTATTACATATTTTTTATTCTAAACAGATATTTAGTATATTACAAATTGATACTATAAAAAATTTGTGTAAATAACATTTTGAGAATATACTATATTAATTATATTTATAAAAAAAATAAAATTGATATTTTAATTAATAAAAAAATAACATATATTATATAATAATGTATTTATTACCTATTATTTTTTGCGTATTTATTCCGTGGCAGTAAAACTATAATTATATTATGTAATAGATACTATAAGTTTTAGAGCTATTGTTAATTTTCACCCAACATTATATTAATCATATCTATATATATTATCACCGTAATCAATAAATGAACGTTTTTGTAAATCTTAATGTTAATTTTTATTTTTTCTATCAACTTTCCTATATTCTTAATGTTAAATAAATCGATGGAGACTATATATCTCTAATGTTAAATTTTAAGAAAATTTTTTGTACACCAACGGGATTCGAACCTATGACTTAACGTTTTAAAGGCAAACGTTCTTCCACTCAGCCACCTTCTATTAAATTTTGTATTATAATCTTTCTTATATATGTTATTATTTTGCTATTATCATTTATTTTTCAATTAATTTATATAATTTAGATCTTATTGTGTTTATATTCAAAGTAAAATTTATTAATTTTTATAAAATTATTTTTATATTACAATTTAGATTTAACAAATAAATTTAAATTATTTACCACCTCAAAATATAGCAGTAAAATAATTTTATCTCAACCAGAATATGGGGTCTCTGCAAATAGTATAAAATACCTATTTATCAGTGTTGTTAAAATAGCGCGCTACTTTTTTAAAAAAATAGCGATAGCGGTAGCTCGCTACTTTCAATTTTACATAATAAATACATCTAAATATTATTAAAATATATTTTTTATAAAATCTAAAATTATAATCCTTTTATTTAATTTAATTTTGAAATTTATATTTAAAAATATACATTATTGTTATATATTAGATATAAACAGTTGTTAAATAGCAATCTGTATTTAATTTATATTTCGCGTATTCATTAAATTATATATTTTTGAAATTCCGTTATTGGTATGTCCTTGCTTTTATCTTATTTTATATTTCATTTTACATTTTATATTAAGCATTATATATCTTGTTATGTGTGAGATTGTTGAAGATATTGTAATTTCTTTGGAAAATGAGCAAAATATAGATTATCCTTTCTAAGATTCAAGAAATACTTTAACCTTGAAGAAAAAATTAATACTGGATATCGGTTTCGGTGCAAGATGTGCCGCAAAATTATCTCTTCAAATCATACGAGCAGCTTTAATTTGAAAAAACATTTAAAGGTAATATATTAAACAAATTTAATAATGTGTAGGCTAATCTTTAATTTTTAAAATAAATTAAAATCAAAAACCAATCATTTTTTTTTATATATTCCAAAATTTTATCTAAATTATTTAAAACATTTTAAAATAGTTATTTCAAACATTTTTATGTACTTATCTCCTACATAATTTTTATTCCAAGTATTTTATAATTTTAGACTGTGCACACTTCAAATTATAAAGAGATTGAAAAATATCTCAAAAGTTTTGGGGTAATGGAAGAAGATAAACCCACTTCCAAATCAAATTTAATACAAACAAAATTAACCAATTTGGATTCATCAACACCTGGTGTATCCCAAAAATTGGCTGACAAAGTCATTATGAACTATATAATAAATACAGTTCAACCATTATCCTTGGTGGATAATGATTCTTTTATAAAGATGATAAACACTTTTTCTCCACGGACCAAGATATTTTGCCGGCAGACATTGATGGCAAGAATTTTGGAGTGCTTTAAGGAAATGAAAGAATATTTGATATTAAATCTATCAGATGTCTCCTACGTCTGTACAACGGCAGATTGCTGGACTCACAATAGAAGGTAAAAATGTTTATTTTCTTATTTATAATATGTCATATTTTTAGAGCTTATTTAGGAGTAACTGCACATTAGATTGATCCTAAAAATCTAAAACAAAAATCTGTAGCCTTAACTCTAAAGAGAATAATTGGCTGTCAGACTTATGACATTCTAGCCAATATTATTGCAGAAATCCATAGGTCTTACAAAATTCAAAACAAGGTAAGATGATAACGGATAATGATAAATAATATTATATTATATTTAACCATTTTAATTTTTTAGGTTAGGCAATATGTTGCTGCCTCACTTAAAATCTTAGAAGGGCAAGATAATATGAGCATGGAATATTATGTGCCCACACTGAGTATATTAATTACCAAGCTCAAAAGAATCAATAATCTAAAATTTTGCCAACCACTGGTAGAGTCTGTGCTAAAAGGCATTGAGAAAAGGTCAAAACTTTATTTTTATTTACTATTATTCAATTATATAAAATGAATGATTTATTGCTTGATTAGCCATAATTTAAATTGGCTTAATTTAAAACACAATCTATAATATTAATATATAGTAATTATTAATTAATATAAAATTCAAAATTAATATATTATTAATTACCTTGTGTATAATAATTATATTTTTAAAATTTTTATTTACCATAATTTATTGCTATTTTAATATTTTATTTATAAATGAATCTAAATCTCAGATAAATTTAAATTTTAAAAATTAAAATGGTATTCTTCTTTTTTTTATAATAAATACAGTCACTTTATATAAATTAGATTTCCAGATCTGTATGATGATGATAATGTAATAGCTGCTATCGTTCATCCTTGTTTCAAGTTAAATTGGCCATACATTAATTTGACTGAATCTAAATGGCAACTTGATAGGCTGATGGTAACGTTAAAAAATGGCATCCCTAACCACGATACTATAGCAAGATCGAAACCGCAGCCTTCCAAAGACGATTTTTTTGAAATAAATAATAATAATAATATTGAACCTATAGATGCTTTTTTTAAATCTAAAAATACTAATTTAAATATTTTTGATGATTTTTTTCATATAAAAAGTTTGTTTATTAAATTTAATACTGCGTTGCCCTCAAGTGCTAGTGCTGAACGATTATTAAGTATGGCAAAGCTTATACTTTCTGATCGTCGCTCTAGACTTGGGGATGACAGTACCGAAATGTTATTATTATTAAAGTGCAATAATAAATAAATTATATATATATGTAACAAATTATTGTCATGTTTTTATATCAATATTTTATTTGTGGAAATAAAGTTACGTAAAAAAAAATATTAAAAAAAAAATCAAAGTAGCTAATAGCGCGCTACTCATTTGAAAACGATAGCGGTAGCGGTAGCGATAGCGCGCTACTTTTTTTATAAAATAGCGGTAGCGATAGCGCGCTACTTTTAAAAGTAGCGTTTAACAACACTGCTATTTATCATTATCTTCCCATGTCAGAAAATTAACCTCCCTCACTAATCCTAAGTACTTATTACAATTTAGATTTAACAAATAAATTTAAATTATATTTAGCCAATTGAAAAATAAACATTTATCTCATATTACCACCCCAAAATATGCCAGTATAAAAATTTTATCTCAA